AGGCAGGACGAAGCGGATATCGTCCTCTTTTGGAAGGCCAAACAAAGTAGTTTCGCTTTCACAACGAAACACACAGATTACAAACACACAGCGCCTTCACGACATGGAGGCGACGGCAACAACAATACTACAGCGAGAATAAAAGTTACGCCTTCTTTCTTTGTGTGAACATTTGGGCGGCGTTATGCAAATCTTCCCACATCGTGACATGTGGGGGCGTGTTAGAACGAGCCGTTTTAGGTAGGCGTGGTTGACTCTTAACTTTTATAAAGAATATCCCTTTGGATTTGAGACTTTAGTCTTTGCAACTTTACAGACCTTCTTTATGCACCAAGAGCTTGTAACACTCCAAAGAGAAAGGAAAAATTTAAATCGCATCATATTACCCCTTTAAACTAGCATCTAACAATGGACAAAAGTGTTTTTTGTTTTTTTCTAACCTATGGTTCTGTAACCATAAAGGCTTCTGTGTAATTTGTCCCCTGACTAAGCATTTAAAGAATTTAGGGGAAGCATTTAAATAATCCTGTGAATGCACTTAAAGAATGCAGAATCGAATCGTTAATCGAATCAAATCAAATTTAATTGTGAATCGAATCGAATTGAATCGTTCTAAATTTGCAAAAATCGTTCTTGAATCGAATCGAAAACCTATGAATTCAATCGTGAATTTAATCGATTCGCTGTCTACCCAAAGATTCACAGCTCTAATATATATGTATTTCATCACAGGAATAAATTGTATTTTAAAATCCTTAAAAATAGAAAACTTTTATTTTAAATTGTAATAATATTTCACAATACCACTGTTTTTGCTGTATAATTTGGCTGACCAATCTTAGTGATGCCAAACTTTTTCAAGGGTAGTGTAAAAGAAAAAGAAATCGCAACAACTCTTGACAAGCTATACAAATTGTAGGAATATAGAGCTATACAAATTATATAGATAGTATTGCTTAGATACTTTGGCCTTGTGAAGTATGAAGTGAATTGTAAGTGGCTTTGGATAAAAGTGTCTGCTAAATGAATAAATGTAAATGTAAATGTGAAGTGAAATTTCTTTCATATTAAAAATTCATAATGACGTCTCAATCAGATATTTTGAGATCTGTGAGAGTGTACTGTGAGATTATAAGGTCTTTTTCATAGGAGAAAAATCAATGATGCCTGAAAGTGTACATTTATATTTATGCATTTGGCAGGTGCTTTTATCAAAAGTGTCTTACACTGCATTCAAGCTTTACATTTAAACAGTTAATACATCGTGTGTAAATCAAACCCATGACCTTGGCATTGCTTGCACACTGAGAAAAATGACTCAGTGGAGTTGTAATTGTAACAAAAAAATATCAATATTTTCAACAAATAAAACTATGTATGGTACTTTACTTTGAAAATTTGAGTAATGTACTTAATATCAATTTGTTGCAAACACTTTTTTTTAGAATGAAATGTATGTATAATATTGAGTAATCTTTATGAGACTTTTTAGATGTGTGCCTTTTCGAGATCTATTTAAGTAAAATGTACTTGAAATAATAGGAAACATGTCTTTAAACTAAAAAAAAAAAGTAGTTTCATAAGCATTTAACTTTACACAAATGACTGATCAGTCAGAGTTAGCAGAGATGTTTATTCTGTCGGAGTTTGGCTTTACGGGAGTTTGGGGAAAGTGCCTTGCGGTAATCGCTTTAGTTACTTTTCTTTCATTTTAAGGAGTTTGACATCGACATTGAGCTCATTTATGACTCCGATGCTTCTCCGTCATGAATCTTCTCCGTCAGAGGCCAGCGGCACCAAAAAAGGTAAGAAATACATTAAATATGAACGGATTAGTGGTGCAGGGGCGTAGATCACGCACACACTTTTAATATCACGTAAATGCATCCCCCGCACTTTTTCAGGCAAGTGTGTTTGCATAGAGGTTTTCAAGAGCCGGTGTGAATAAATATAGATTTAAATTCAAAGAGACAGGATAGTCTGTGCATGACCTGATGTTTTATTCGGACCCAGAATAAGGCAAGATGAACATCATGGAGCGCAAAACACTCCGTGCAGTGTATGTTTCATTCATACTCGAAGCAGGAGGGCGCTCTCGGGCAGAAAGCCATACCAGGAAATCACTAATATGGACAAAATCGTCTATGGATGTATGAAAACAGTTGTTTACTTTTCACAGAAAAACGGAAACCTTTGGAAACATGAAGACAATAAACATATGATTGCGACAATATATAATATATATATATATATATATATATATATATAATGTCTGTCCCCCTCACTTCTGAAATGATGGATACGCCCCTGTAGTGGTGGAATGCTTTAATATCACAAAAGATGCCATGACGAATATAACATTAACGTTACATGTTTGTTTTATTAGCTGGTTTACATAAATTACCCTTGAATTGTATACCTTGTAATCAACGTTTTTCATTAGGCTATCTGTAGTGCAACTACTTAATGATTTAAAGTTACTGCTTGCATACAACGTAAATATACTTGGCTTTTATTTAATTGTGTGTTGAAATGATATAAATGTATTTAAACATTTGGAAAAAGTTTATTCTAAAGCATTTACATAAATGACTGAGTTGAATTTAGCTAGGACAGGTGTTTGGGGAACATGCCATGCTGTAATTTCTACTTTTTTTGCTTTCATTTTAAGGAGTTTGACGTCAAAATTGAGCTCTCATTATGACTGGGGCACTACTGAACTGTTATCATGTGAGGAGCAAGGGACAAGACTAAAATCTTCTCTGTCAGAGACCAACTGCACTGAAAAAGGTAAGAATCACATTAAATATGACCACATTGATGCTGGAATGTTGTAAAGGTACTATTGTAATGGGGTCTAAATGAAATATAATTACTATGGTCCTACTTCTTACCAGTTAACATTTAGTTTGTGCTTGTTTTTCTTTATTTCAGTGGACAAGCAGTTGTTTTAGAATATGATAATAATAATAGAATATAATAGAATAATAATAAAGCAATAAATCAATCTAAATCAATAATTTCAATTAAATGAAACCAATGAAATGGAATTAAATGAAAGTCAAATCTTTGTCCGCAACAGGATCTGGATGCAAGTCCAAGAAGATCCAATCACTTCCCATCAAAAATCCCACACCTCTGAAATGAAAATTCTGTAATTTATTCGTTTGTCACTCCAAACCCATAAGACATTTATTCATCTTCTAAACACAAATGAACATATTTTAAATGAAATCCTTTGACAGTCCATGCAACTATACCACTCTGATGCTTTAAAAAGTTCATAATCGAGCAGTTTTTTTATTCAAATTTTCCTAAGAGCCATGATTGCTTTATATGATATATAATGCATGCTAATAAGCAACTAAACAAGTTAATAGTGAGAATTGGTCTCTAAACGAAAGTGTTACCAGTAGTGTTAATGTTACTCTGTAATTTGCATTGTTGCACTGTTGTAACATTGTAAAGTGAATACATTTTTTGTTTTGAGACGCCTGTTTACTGTTTCATTACACTATTGTTGAAACATTTAGAAATATTTAAATACAGATTAAATACTTTTTTCAAATAAAAAATGTGGCTTATAAGGATAAATAGGTAAATATTACTTTAAAAACAACAAGGTTTATGTTTGATGAACTTAAAACTATAGTTGGTAAATTGAAAAAAAATGAGTTGCCAATTGAAAAAAAAATTGAGTTGCCATTACTTAAGAGTTCAAGTTGGAAGCATGTAAAGTCTAATAGAACAAACAAGAATAAAATGAGTTCAAAATACTTAAAAAGCTTATGCAAATAGGTGCCTCAATTTTATTGAGTAAAACAGGCACAAACGTTTTTACATCTTGCTCTACTGTTTGAGCTGCATGCAGGAATGTTGTCTACAATTGACAACCATGATTTTAAAGAGATTGTGTTTTTTTTTCTTTCCTGTGTGAAGCCATCAATTATAATCTTTCACTTACGATGTTACATTTGTGCAGAATTCTTTCCTATTCAGCAGTTGACCCACAGCTTGAATTCAAAAATACATTTTGTGCTGTTTTCACATGCTATCACAGACTTCTCACTGAAAAAAAAAAGTAGTCTTGCTAGGTCAAGAAGCTGGGTCATGAAGTAAAAAAAGAAAAAAGTAAGAAAGAAATCAGGCCTTTGTTGACATTCATGGGGCAAAGGGCCTGCGCACATTTGCAGAGGTCATCGGAAAGTAAACACCTATTAATGGTTACCTGCTTGACGAACAGATAAGCAGGTCACGGTAATGATTAAACCACAGCTTGCTGGGTTACAGGCCATGTGTGAACAAAAGCATGCTGGGTGAATACAGGTCTGCGTTGGTGCTAAAGAAACAAATAGTAATCGTTATAGTACAGCAGCCTTTGAGCTGTGATGTATCAGAGCATTGAGACACACACACACACCTGTGAGAGCTGTAACAAACACACTTGTCAACATCCATTAGCACATTCATGCAGGTACTGTATTGTGGGTGGCTTGTTGACTGTACAGTGCAGGTGGGTAGATAAAGAACGAAAGAAAAGGGAAAAAAAACGCTCAAGTTCACAAGGTCATTTTCAACCCAGGGATAGAGTAAACTGAGCGAAACTGCACAAGCTGCAACTTATCAGCCCGCTTGCATGCCAGAGCTTTCTCCTCTGTGTGTGCGTGTGTGTGTGTGTGTGTGTGTTTCACAAAACAGAACAGGATGATCGCTTTTGGTTCAAGTATTTGTATCTTCCTCCGCTCAAGAACTGTAATCATAAACTTTCTCATGATTCATGCTATTCACCAAAATCTCAAACAGCTTGATTTCAGGAAAACACACACACAGACACACACACACACACACACACGCACTCAGTGCAGTCATGGATATTCATAAAACATAAATGAGAAATTAGTCTTTTTGAACCCCTCTATTTGGAATAAATCTTGAAATCATGTCTTTGAAGGAAACAAATATTCACTTTATAGTTTTTAAATAAATTGTTATCTTGGTTTGGTGCATTACTCAAATTGCCGGAAATGATAAAACATTTCCAGTGCATGGTGTTATCTTAATGAACAAAATCTTCAACTTAATGAATGCGGATATTCAAGGCTATTTCAAGGCTTTCCACTCAGTGACAGGACACAGGCAATTCCTTTTCTTTCACACCAAGAATTTTTTTGTCCTTGGTGGTCTTAAAAAGTGTCCGTGGGGTAATCATAAGCATCATAAAAATGTGTTTTTATATAAATAAATTAATTGTTAAAAAATGTTAAGCTCTTGCGCTGGTGTAACAGAAATATTTGCACTTGAATCCTCCCTATAAACACACCACCCTAAAAAAGCCATTTGACCTTTTTCCATCAATTACTTTGAGATGTGGGTGTGAGTTGTGAACATGCAGAAATTCCAGACATAATCAAAGTAACAGCTAATAGCACTTTGCCATTTCAACTAGAGCTTTTAATATCGCAAAAAAGTGCACTACTCCACAGCACTGCTAAATACTCAAGAGCTTAATTCAAAATGTTGTTAATGTTTCTATAAATGGGTGGAATTTGATTGTTTGTTTACCCCCACTCCTTTCTGGAGGTCATTTATTGCTTTTAATTGGTCTCCTATAATGTACTGTCACCACGTTTTCTGTTAAAGCCGGCTTTTCTCAAGAGTGCTTTAAGTAAATCTCTGCTATTTGGTATCTATCGCTGTGTTCATTCCAAAGGTCAGGGGTAACCTTAGCAACTCTGGTCGTGTTAATTAAGAAATGAGAAGATTTCACTGGTCACCATCCCTCAAGCTTCATATTGCAATTGAAGCTCCCTTAAAACGCTACTAAAAACATACTTTGAAAGGAGTAAAGAAAATATAAATGCGAGAAACCCTTGCATAAATAACTAGGAGTGGGAGAGCTGTCTATCTCACCCCGGAACAAAAAAATGGTTGCTTAAAAAACCGTAGAGAAGGAAAGGGTCATCTGGTTTCCATTAGAAAGATAAAATGGTTCACTTTGAGCCTTTTACCAGCCTCTTTGTTTCTGGGAGGCGTCCATGCTTCTCTCTCCATCATCAGCCAGTTGACACAACATTAAAGGCTTCAAACGGTCAAGTCGGGCCCCTTAATCAGAAACTAATTGTAATAGATATTGGAGGAGTGCTAACACTCTGACCGCTCGGACTGGTATCAGTGGTCCAAAGCTTGTGATACCATTAAACACAACACAGACCTAATAGCTGCCACAGGGTATAAAGAAGAACCAGAAGCAAAGTGTGCTAAGTGCTACATGTGGCTGAAAAGGCACATGTGCTGTGAAACCACACTCCTTGAGATGAGTTCACCGCTGTCCTGTCAAGCTGTGTTAGTTAGCAACAAAAAAGGAATTTGAAAACAAAACATGAAAGTGGTCCCATCAAGGCAGTCGGGAACAAGGCTGAAAGGCCAGGAGAAAATGTCAGTTTGGGCAAAACACCCAACCGGCCGAAGAGTCTTATCAGTCCCAGGAGGATCGCTTCATATTCTTTTCCACAAAATATTTCTGGAGGACTCTGTTGAGGATGCGCCATGACAGATTTCTTCATATTTTTTTACAGCTGTCTGTAAGTCATCTAAAAATAGATAGAAGTATTTAGTTTTTTTTACTTTTCATACATGATTTAGCTGTTTTCTAATTGTATGCAACATAATTTCTGTAAAAACACAGTAAAGAATTTGTTGTCTGCTTATTCTTTTGATATCTTGTGTTGATGAATCAATTAAACAGGAAATTGATAATACATATTTAAGATAGATAGATAGATAGATAGATTTTGAGAAAGCAACTTTTTAAGATGCTATAAAGATGTTATATATCAAATGTTTGGAAAATTACAATGTTGTATGTTTTTGAAAAAAAGTCTTATGTTCACCAAGGCTGCATTTATTTCATGAAAAATAAAATAAAAACAGTCATAGTATGTGAAATATTACTACAATTCAAAATAACTGTATTAAAACATTTTTATTTATTTATTTATTTTTATTATTATTATTATTATTATTATTATTATTATTATTTTGCCAAAGCTTCCACAAAAAAATATAATAATTAAGCAGCAGCAGCACAACAGTTTCCTTTAGTTTTTTTACAGTTCTGTTTTTTCTATTATATGTATCTCTTTTTACAGTGAAATGTAGATCTGTTAATCTAATTTGTATTGCAGTTTCTTTTGTTTCATTACATTCATTTTTGTCAGTTTACGGATAATATTGATATTATTGTAAAACATACTAATATTATAATTTTGCAATACAAAATAGAGAGCTCGAAACATCCCTTTATTTTAACTGCTCATAAAGGTTACAAGTAGTTTGTTTACATTTCTTTCTTTCTTTCTTTTATTTTTATAAGGTTAGATATAACAATGCAGTTGAATATGGCTATGATAGCACACTTGTGCAGGTACACGCAGGTTAGTTAAAAAAAAGACCATACACATATATTTAATACTGACAACTATTATTATTTTGCCAAAGCTTCCACAAAAAAATATAATAATTAAGCAGCAGCAGCACAACAGTTTCCTTTAGTTTTTTTACAGTTCTGTTTTTTCTATTATATGTATCTCTTTTTACAGTGAAATGTAGATCTGTTAATCTAATTTGTATTGCAGTTTCTTTTGTTTCATTACATTCATTTTTGTCAGTTTACGGATAATATTGATATTATTGTAAAACATACTAATATTATAATTTTGCAATACAAAATAGAGAGCTCGAAACATCCCTTTATTTTAACTGCTCATAAAGGTTACAAGTAGTTTGTTTACATTTCTTTCTTTCTTTCTTTTATTTTTATAAGGTTAGATATAACAATGCAGTTGAATATGGCTATGATAGCACACTTGTGCAGGTACACGCAGGTTAGTTAAAAAAAAGACCATACACATATATTTAATACTGACA